GAAATACTACGCCGTAAACTTTCGAAATTCTTGTATTTTCGTAAGTTTTACAGAATATTACACCGTAATGTTACGAAGTACTACGCCGTAAACTTTCGCATAGTTTACATTCCATAATATTACGTAGTACTACGTCGTAATGTTACGGAATATTACGAAATACAATTTACGTAATCTTACGGCGGTCTCGTAAGTTTTCGTAATATTACAGAACGTAAGTTTACGCAATATTACGTCCTATTAAATTTACTGATGTAGTAAAGTTATTATATAAGCTAAAAGAGTCATCACATGAACATTTCGTTTAATTATAGTGATCTACCAAAATTGCACTATAGCATCAAAAAAAGGTTTAATGCTCATAACATTCATAATAGTCTTTTGTCTATTAATCAAGCAATCACTAATATGCAAAATATAGGTGAATATTCCATTAATGTATTCAGCCTCATCACTTACAGTAGTAAGCATAAAGTATATGAGTTGTTTATTAGATAAGCATTATTGAAGTATAGCAGTCATTCTGTTATCATATTTTGTTACAGTCTTATTACGTGATAGAATACTAGCTAAAGATTTGATATTATCATAGTGAGTGAATGCTAAATGATCAATTTAGTCAAAAATAGTTGAATTATACATAATATCAGTAAGATTAATTATATTATCTCAATATATTTACAAAATATTTAATTTATTTTTTCAATAGATGCAAAAAAAAAATAATAGCAAACTTAGTAGGCAAATTGTAAAAAAAAGATATTTGAATATATATCTAAAATGAAATCTTCTGCATAATTTATTATATAAATAACTTTACTTTTAAAATATGTACTCAGACATAGGTATCTTTATTAATATAAATCTGGCAATATAAATTTAGGAAAAATGTATAATAAGTTGGTAAAAAAGATTATAAATAAATATATTCTTAATAGGTATTATCCAGATAATGATAAGTACATAATCTATTATAAATATTAGTAAAAGCCTATCTTAAAGTATGTATCTGAATAAGTATCTAAAAGTGAAGTCTTCTTTAGAATTATTATATAAAAATTGGAAAAAGACTTACTCTTCAGACACTATTCTATATAAAGATGGGCACCATAATTAAAAAGTTGCAACTCAATAAGTTGCAACTTGAGTTGCAACTCCTTGTAAATTTATTTTAATATAAAAATTCATAAAATGTTGCAACTCAAAGTGTTGCAACTTAAGTTGCAACTAGTTAAAAATTTTAAAAATAATTATGGGAACCATCTTTAATTCTATACCTTTATTAGCACAGTAATTAATGATAATTTTGGCCAATATTATATTATAATTTGGCTAGAATTTTAGAATCAATAACTCAGTATTCAAAACTGATATAAAAGTAATCTAGAACTGGTGAATTAATGGAATTACTTTAGCTTATTACCAGTTTCTCAACAAGTTTTATAATACTACCAATGTTACCATAATACTGACATAATATTGAGTTAGATCCTCAAATTATGTATCATAAATTTAGCCAAAATTATGTTATAAAGCCAACTAAAATTTCACTGCAAAATATATAATATTATCTAGCATGATTTTTTTAGTAATTTATTCCAGTACATTTTAGTCTACATATGCATACTATACTCTGATTAACTAATATGTAACCAAATAGACTATAATGTACTATTATATTTTAAAGCAAATATATTAATATTTAATATATTAATATTTGTTTTTTTATTATATTGAGAAAGATCAAAGAATTTACAACTTATTTTTATTAATTATGGTTCTTCTTTAGTTACACAATTTTTTGATCATTTTTATTAGCTGATATTATACCATGTAATATTATATCAATGCTGAAAATTTGAAATAAAATCATATGATTGTCTAGTATTAACTTTCAACATCATATAAAAATCAAAATATAAGAAATTAAAATTAATATATAATCTGGAAAAAATATTTATAATTATTTTAAATAATAACAGTTTATAAAAATATGATAAATGATAAATTATTATATTAATTATATTTATTATATCTAATTTAATTCAAATTATTAAATTAAATTATAATAAATAATAATAATATTTTTTAATATTTTTAATATACAATATTAATAGATCAAGTATTTTGAATTTATATTAATCTTTTATTTTCAAAGATTAAGAATTTTTATTATTTAAAATACATTTTTTGTAGCTTGATAAAATCGTCCTGTCATATCACGTGATAATGATCAGAATATGACAATATGCAATATACATTATCGTTGTTTCTATTGTATTAAACCATAGATTTTACCAGTAATCTTAAAAGCAAATTTCTTGTATAAAAGACGATCTACTATAAGTTGAGTACCCCAAATCATAACCGCAATCCATAACGTCATGACGTCTTCAAACGTTGGTTCTAAAATTGTAGGTTCATCTAAAAAAAAGGGAAAAAATGAGTTTGATAAATAAGCACAATACCAAAAATGGGATTAATTCTTTATACCTATGTCAACATAAATGTCCATGATTTCATCTTGATCTTCATCATAAACTACTTTCAAATATTCTTTTAACGGGTCGATATAATTTAATTCTATTTTATGAGCCACAACTGTTGGTGCGACTAAACCTTGAAAGTTATCTTTAGGAACGACTTTTTGAGAAGCATTTTTGAGATAAGAGTGGAACTGTTTAACATTGACAAGTTCTTTTTGAAAGAGACCAGTGTAGGCGACATACATCCCATCACGAAATCGATGGATGCGACAAGTCCGTTTTTGATTATTTGGAAGGTGAAGAATTACAATTTGATCGGTTTGAGTTACCAAAGTAATGATTTGGTTTTGAGTGGTATAAGGCTCAAGACTTTTCCCTACATAGGAAAGACAACGAGCAACTAAAAAAAAAAAATATTAATCTCTAAATCGGCGTCTTTTTTTAAGGCGTTAATAAAATCATCAAAATACTTACAACTAAGACAGAGAGAACGATAATACTTGCGTGCAGAGTTATGAAGTTCGTGGGCTACGCAACCTTGCTCCATTTAACTTTTTAAAAAGAAGAACGCGTTGAAATTTTATTGGAAAGAGAGAGGTAAAGTGGCGAAGCAAAAATTCCTTTGAAACTGTGGGAACGATAATATTGAAAAGCAATTTTTTTTTTTTTGTTTTTCCACGCTTCTGAAAGCAGTAAAACTATGAGGTTTGTTCATTGAAATAGTATGTAATATTTATACATAATACTTTATTATAGTATAACGATAAATAAATATACTGATATCAAATTTATCATAATCCTGAATTATCATGACATTGTTTCTTATTAGTAAACATCTTTAGTAAACATCTTTGGTAAACATAATAGTAAAATATTGTGATCATTTCTATAAATATTACCATCTAACTGTCTTTAGAAATTACAAGATTTTTTACTCGAATTACACAAAAAAGTTGTTTACATCTGATTGAATTTAACCTGTCAAAATTTATTTTAGTTGTGATAAACCAAAAATGAATTATATAATAAATTTCGCGTTTATTCGTTTATTTTTTTTCTTCCTTTTTGTTTGTTCTTTTTAAAGAATCCCAAATTATTTTTTAATTTTTTTTTGGTAGATTTAATTTATATTTTAGTGCGGAATTAATGTAATTATATTATTATTCGCGTGTTTTTAGCTTATTGTACCGTTCTCATATTTTTCCATTATTTTGAACAGAAGGTTTAATTCTTTCGCAGAGTTGGAAAAGTTTTTCAAATGAAAAAGCCCTTAAACAACAAAACATCTCTCCTCGGTCAAATGACTGGAAATGAAGTCACGAAGAAATCGATACGAAATAAACACCCTTTGAAGGAAAAGGCGGATTCAATGGCTGCAAGACTATCAATGATAACAAAAGAGTTGGTAAGCTTGATTTTATGTCACACACATCATCATACATATAATATTTATTATATAAAAAAAAAGGCTCCGCTAAACCGATCATGTTGATTTGCCTGATCACGCAGGCAGCTATTCCTGATTTATAAAGTGAATGACATCACTTATGATTGACTCTTCTGATTTAATATTATAAAATATCATCAGTCTTTCATGTCTCCTTCAAAAGATTCCCTTGACAAATTGGTCGAAGATCAACAACTTTTGATGATTATGGAAAATGAAATAAGTCAATCACAAAAAGAAAAGTCTGCCTTATTGCTTAGAATACGTAAAACTAAAATTGAAATCGAAGAGTTACAAAAAAACATTAATCAGACACATAAAGAAAATAAACCTTCTTTAACATCCGATCAAGATGCATTAATGTATCCCTAATGTCATTTTATTTAAAATAGTTTACTTTATACCACATATTAGATCTTAACGTTTGTTAAAATCAATTTTCTAAAGTGACAAATTACTTAGTATAAATGATCAATCCCTTTTGGAATCTATTGGCACTTCCTTACAAGCTGAATCCAATCAACAACAACATAATAATATCACTATTGATAATACCGATCGAGCAAGTGACGTAGGTGCTTGATTTAGATAACGCACATATTAATGGCTAACAACAAAACTTGATTTTTTTTAATCATAGATAGAACGGTTAACAAATTTTACAAAACTCAATTTCTTAAAAGTTAGTAATAATTTGATCACGGCTGATGGAGGTAAGAAAAAAGAAAAAAAAATCAATAATGGACATATTCACGTACGATGGCGCCTGATTTAAAAAAAAAAATTTTTTTGTTCAGATTGTATTCGTCGTTATAATCACGCAGGAAATTCTTATGATATCAACTTTTGTATTGAATTTGACGTGAACGAAACCGATCTTGTTATCAGAAGGCTTAAAATCAAAGTAGATTCCGGTGTAAAGAGAGAGATAGGAAAATTTATTGAAAAGTAAGAATTATTTCCTTTTTTTTAAAAAAAAAAATTAATAAATATTAACATTCTTATCATAATAGTGTCGAATACGATAAAAATCTACTGGTTTTTTTCAAAGGTTTTGTTGAGTATGCGCGATTGAATTATCAACGTAAATTATTGTTTGATAATTTAAAAGGAAAATACCATACCTTGACTTCATCAAGTAGTCATACGCATAATAAATATTCCCAACATGCTTCGCATTTGTGTGTTGACGTGCACCCTTTATTACGATTCTCAGATAAAAGGTTTGAATGAATTGTTTATTATGCACATTTAAATTATGTAAAGATTGTATTATTATTAATTATGCTATTTATCTTAGCAAAATTGGACCAGAGTTAATCTTGTCATGGAATTTGAATATTGATTCATCTGGTCGAGTTATCCCTGATGTCAAAATGTATGCACGAACTCCACGTCAATGTAAGTATCCGTTTCATTAAAAATTCATATTCGGTTTATATCAGATAATTCAATCTTGGATGCAAATTCATTAGGGACATTATTGGATGAAAAACATATAATTGATCAGATACCAATTAATTTTCAAAATTTGGCTGAAGTTAAAGGAATTCAATCGGCTATTGAAATGATTGTAAAAAGTTTTTTCAAAGTCTCATGAATAAATTTAACGATTTTGAACGTGTTTTGATTTAAAGTAATAAAATATTAATTTGTGCTTTAAGTGTGACCATGTTAATTTTTAATGATGTAAAGCTTAGTAAAATATTTTTAAGAAATATTCTATCTATCAAATGAAATCTGTAACGCTAACCAAAAAAGGGAAATATATTCATAGATTCTCAAATGAAAAATTCCCTTAGGAGAAAAAAATTAGAAATTTCCAGAGAATTTCCCATCAAATTACCCTGGCATACGATTGCATATTTGTAAATCTGTGGATTTCCTTTTTCAACAAAAAGTATAAAGAGTTTAATGTCACCTTACATTGTCGGAATTCAATTGCCGTCACGTTGATTTAATTTAATATTTTATCATAACAAAAAAAAATCTCTTTCCATTAATCTATTTTGATCAGTATCATGGCTTTAGAAAATCAATGGTTACAGGCCGCTATTAAGAGCGAGCATATTATAAGCATTAATTATGATACTTTTGAAAACGCTGAAGTTATAGCAAGAGGGGCTTTTGGTGAAGTTTCTCGTGCTTATTGGAAAAGTGGCGAAAAAACTGTCGCCTTAAAAAGTCTCTATGGAAATACTCAAATGGGAGTCGAAGGTTCTTTTGAAGAATTTGTTAGAGAGGTAAATCATTTTTTTTCACTTTTTTTCTTGGCAAATGTAATAATATTTTTTTCATTTGCAACCAAATTATAGCTTCAATTGATTCGTTCGGTTGATTTTCATGATAATATAATAAGATTTTATGGTGTTAGTGAAGGTAATATATATCTTTTTTTTTGCCAGATATATTTTGTTAATTAGTAAATATAACAAATATAATTTTATAAAAAAAATAAAGATCCAGCAACACGGAGATATTTTATGGTGTTAGAATATGCCAATGGCGGAGACCTTCGATCTTTCTTACGTAAAAATCATCATACGCTCAATTGGAAAATGATAATAAATATGGCCAAGCAAATTTCTAGCGGCCTCAAATGCATTCATGAACGTAACATAGTACACAGAGATTTAGTAAGCGAATATTTTTTTTCATCTTGGTGATCTTTGGTGGCTATAATTTTAATTTTGAATAATTACCTAGTATCAAAGTAATATTAAAATATTGTGTATATATATATTTCTTTTTTTTCATATAGCACTCAAAGAATATATTGGTGCATGATGGAAAAATGATGATTACAGATTTTGGGTTGTCAAAATCATTGGACAATAATGAAACATCCCTCGTGGGTGGTATGGTTGGTTATATTGAACCGTTATGTTTTATAAATTCATCTTACAAAAGAGACAAGGCATCAGATATATATAGCTTAGGTGTGTTGTTGTGGGAGTTATCAAGTGGGAGGCCACCATTTGATAATATGGCGATTTTAGATATAGCCAGCGCTGTGGTTCAAGGAAAAAGAGAACAACAAATTGACGGATCTCCACCGGATTATGTAGCAATTTATCAGATGGCTTGGGATAATCAACCAAAAAAACGTCCCACAATAAATAATGTGCGTGATAGTCTTGAAAAATTATCAAAACAGTTAACAGAAGATGGAGACAATCTTAATACAAACAATTTCGCTGCATTATCTTTAAACTCACCGGGACAAAATAATTTAGCAAATTCACCCATTGTAGAAAATAAAGAGCTTCCTTCGAATAATTTCGCATCAAATTTTGGCGTGCAAAATTCATCTTTACGTCGTCAAACAACAATACCTTTGGGAGTGGCCGAATCAATGAATCCGAATAAGAAGGTTATTATGTTAGACAGTTATGTTCCATCGAATAATGTTAAAACTGGACAATTAATGAGCCCACCAAACTCAAATGAAATTCTCACTAATCAGAATACGATACCAATTGGCGTAGCGGAATCGATGAATCCGAATAAACAAAGTAATGCATTGTTGAGTCATACTCGGTCAAGTAATCAGAATTCATCAGCTTCACCATCCATTCCTTATGGACTTATTAATTCGATGAATCCGCTTAGATCAGACACACTTTCGAATTACCTGCCAGCAAATAATACAGCTCCAATTCCAAATGTGATTTTACGCGGCAAGACTACTTTTCCATCTAGTGCGGCTGATCACCGTGTTAATGTTAATAATGTACCTCAGATCATTCCTAACCCAATTCAACAACCTCGGGTCTATCAAATGCCTTCTAATCAACAATCAAATCAGTATACGCAAATGCCGACAACCAATACGCTACAAAGAAATAATACAGTTAATTATACTCAAGCCAATAATCAGCCACAATCTAAACAATTCCCAGGTGTTCCACAAAACATTCAAAGGAGCAACACTATAAGTCACTCCCCACAGAATGTTAGTGGTATGCCCAATCCTATAAATCAGCCTCAATTTAATAAGTTCCCACAGAATAGTTCTCAAGGATTCCAAGCACCTCCATCCCAACAACCGCAATTTACTCAACAACAACAACCCCCTCAGAATCAACGACCCTCCCAACTTCAGCAACAGCAACAACCTCAATTTCAGCAACCCTCTCAGTCTCAGCAGCCTCCAATACATCCCCAATATCAACAGCCTCAACAACAACCTCCTCAACAGCCCCAATACCAACAGCCTCAACAATCTCAACAACGACAACCTCAGCAGCCTCAACAACAACCACCCCAGCAATCTTACCAACAACCTTTAAAATCTCAACAGCCTCAACCTCAACCTCTACAGCAGCCTCAATACCAACAACCTCAGCAGCCTCAATACCAACAACCTCAGCAACCTCAATACCAACAACCTCAGCAACCTCAATACCAACAACCTCAACAGTCTCAAATGCCTCAACAACAAAGACCTCAACCACTCCAGCAACCTCAATACCAACAACCTCAACCACACCAGCAACCTCAACAACTACGACCTCAACAGCCTCAATACCAACAGCCTCAACAGCCTCAACAACAATATCCAAATCAACAGCCTCAACAACAATTCCCACCAAACTATAATAATAATAGTATGCAATACTTTCAACAACGTCTTAATCAATATCCAAATCAATTGGGAAATGTGCAGTATTCAAATCAATTTCCACCTCAACTAAATTTAAACAAATCTAATTCTATTGCCTTACCAATCCGACTAACATATAATAATCGTATGTTATTTGACTTTACCAATTCTTTTATCTGTTTTTATTATAACTGATAATTTATTTACTAAGATATAGATCAATCACCACAACCTCCCAATCAGTTGCCTCACCCTCCTCCAAATATTATTCAACGTCAAGTAAGTTTATTGGATCAGGTTAAATTATTTCGAAATTTGATTTTAGAAACTTACCTTTTTCCTTTTTTTAATATAATTAGCTTTCTCATTCACAAAATCCACACAAATGTACATGTGATGATACGATGACAAAGTATGTCGAGGAATTCCAAAACACCCGTGGCTATAGTAAACCAACCAAATGTCATGCAGGCTATCACGCAGGGATTGGGGATATCGAAGGGTTAAGATGGCATTTATATTATGACCAAAAAGTTGAAGGAACTTATAACTTTAGTGATATGACGGATAAGCTGGTGTTGATTACTGCAAGATTTTGTGGAAGGAAAAGTTTAAATGCTATGTTTCGATGTCTTAAAGAATATGGAGTGAATTTTAATGTTACAACGATGAAAACCGAAAAAACAGCATTTCATTTATTATTCGAAAATTTTAATCTTTGTAATAAAATAACTTATGCTAAGGAAAAACTCGAAAGATATCACAAAGTATTATTTCAGGCGATTAAGTTCCTAAAAGAAATGGGGTGTAATATTAATGCAAAGGATAAAGAAGGATGTACAATATTATCACGTTATCTTGGAGAATTATTTTTACATGAAGAAAGAAAACCAATTATAGAATCATTATTAAATAATGGAGCAGATCCAAATATATCAGTAAGTTTAAAGAATTGGGGAGAATTTGATGCAAATACAGCTTTATTACTGGCAGTGAGAAACAAATGGCCAACTTCTGTATTAGATGTAATCGTTAAACATAAAGTAGATGTTAATGCTGTTAATAATCAAGGCAAGAATGCATTAGCCATCGCTACTGAAGCTAAAGATCATAAAACAATGATTTGGATGTTAGATAATGTTGATTTTGAAAATGAAAGTATTAAAGTTGCCAAAAGATGTGCAGGAAATTTTACTACTAAAGAATCTCAAATATTAAAATCATGGAAAAAAAAGTAAATATGAGCAAAAGTTTCTTTTGATTTTTATTTTTGATATTTGTATTTTATTTTTTTATCTTTTTTTATAAGAAAAAAAAATTAATTAGATGATTTAAGTGTAGATAGATAATATTTATATTTTTAAAATAAAACAAAATGCATTAAAAAAAAAAATTATATACTTTTTTATCACAAGATAAAAGCAAAATCAGTATCTAAATGATACTTGTAATTTATCATATAACATTATTAAATCATTATAATCAAATCATTATCATATTACCTAATAAATAAAGTTAAAATTTATATTATCAGTTTAAAAAAAATTTATAACAATTCTTCCTTCAGAATCAATAGTTATATTATGCTTTTCATACATAGATAATGTTTATATTTTAGCTCTTGACTTCATATTAATTAGGTATTTTGATCTAAAATTCAGATTTATTTGAGAATCAATATTATATAATAAAAAAATTCATTTTATATTATCCTTATGATTTGTAGAATGAAATCATTTTATTTGCTATTTTAATAATACATTCTTAGAAGATTCCAAAAAGATTTAACTTGATTTGCTTAAAAATAATATTATTATTGAGTGAACAGAGATAATAATCATTAATTAATACATCTGTTTTTTCACCAAAAATATTTTATTTTATGTTTGTGATTTCTCATAATCATAAACCTTTTTGAATAGTATGTTTCTTTTCTGATATTTAATATTTAAGAAATTTTTAATTCTTAATATAATAATAGAATTATCAGATAATTGTGAAGAAACATTAATTATATTATATTAGAAAAGTTTTAAAGTTAAATCTAATAAAGACAATATAATCTATTTGAGATATTAACTTAAATAGTTTAAATATTTAGCGTTAGTAATTTATTTTATGTCAATCATATTTTATTATAAATGATTCAAATTAATTGAGATTTTATAAAGTTATAAAGAAAATTTTATCTATTATCAGAAGGTATATTTATATTGAAATCTTCTCTTATAAGAAGAATATAAAAATTATAGTATTATATAAAGATGATATATATAACCTGAATGACATATATGACTATAATAACTAATATGTTATATATGTTTTTTATATCTTTTATAATATATATTTCTCTTATATTTATTATATTTCTTATATTTTTTTTATTATATATATATCTTATATCTTATTATATTTATTATATTATGTATATTTCTTATGTCTTCAAAAACTTTATATAATTATTTTTATATAAATATATCTTAAATCTTAAGATAATAAATAGTGTCTTTAAGTATATTTAAGATAAGTTAATATTAGATAGTTTATTTTAATATAAAACATTTATATAATACCAAATGCTAATAATAATTATAATATTTGATCTTAAGAATTACTATTCTTTTTAATCATATTTATAAAAGGTTAAACTTAAATAATCACAATTTCTCATAGACTTCTATTTATATGAAAAATTAATATATATATTTTTTTTAAAAAACTAAGTCTTCAAAAGATTGATTAACATTATTTAATTAAACTTAATAAATTAAGATTTTAAAGTAATATAATTATTAAATATCAAAATAAATGATCAAAGTAATTCTTTTTTTTTGATAACAGTTAAATAAATGAAGCTAAAACTTTTCTTTATATTATTTTTATTAAAAAAAAGTTTTAAATATTGATATTAATTTTAAAAATAATCTAATATAAGAAGAAAGAATGTAGCAATTAGACAGGATCATCAATATGTTCTATAATATTAGTGATATGAAATTTTTTTAGATGAAAATAAAAAAAAATATATTATTTGTGATATTAAATAATAATGTTATCTTTAAGAAGAAATTCTTAAATGTTATTCATTTTAAACAATTTACATTAGATAAAATTTAGATATAAATTACTATTACAATTTACTTTAAAAAATATGGTAACATTAGAATTTGAAATAACCTGAATGAAAATTTGCAATTATTTTCAATTATTAATATTAACATGCAATTTTAGTGCATCATTACAATTAAACAGGATATTTGAGTGGTGATTCTTTTGATTTACATAATAATTTCACTAATTTTACAAAGACTTATATATTTCTTATGAATATTTATGAAAGCTAGTAAGTTATCACTAAAATTCACAAAGACTGTATATTATTAAGATTTATAGTTTATCACAAAGATCTATAAAGGCTTATATATTATCATTAGTAATACCTGCCTAAACACTTTTTTGAAAAATTGTAATTTCGTCAAAAGATTTCATCTCTTTAATATTTTTATATGAATAAATATAAAAATATTATCTTTTTTAATATATTTTAATTCAAGGAATTAAATCAAGTTAAATATAATTTTGGCAATTAAGTAAAATGATTTCGTCATTAATAAAAACTAGTTTCATCATTTCAATTTCGTCAATTTTATCATATTAAAAAAGGTAATTTTGTTAGATATTACTAAAGCTTCAAATCAGATCAGATCAACTTGTGACCCGATTTGATCCAACCTGAAAAATCCAGGTTAGTGTCAAGAAAAATTTTAGTAATTTTAATTAATTAGACTAGAATAAAAATATGTTGTAGAATAATAATACTTCACTAATTATTTTAGAAAATTTGAATTTTAAAATATTTAAGATTAAATTATTTGTTTATAATAAATATTTTTACTTAAACTTTTATTAGATTTTTTAACTTAATTTAGTTTAATAAAATTTTAGATTTTTAAAAAAAGTTATTTTAAAAGTTTCAAAAAAAGTTTTTAAATTTTTAAATATATGTTAAAATAGGTTTTTAATAACGTTATTAACATATATTATATAAATTTCATCAAAATAAATTAATTTTAATAAAATAAAGAAATATGTTTTTTATTAAAGAATTATAATTTTATATTTAATTATATAATTATTATTACAATATAATTTATATTACATTTTTTACTATCTTATTTATCTAAAATTTCTAAAATCCAATTATTTTATTTATATATTTTGGATTGATCTAAAACTACAGATATATTGAATAATTATTATATAAGCATTATTAAAAATGATTCCTATAATTTTTTAATTTCATTTGAGTTGCAACTTAATTATGATATTAATAAATTTAATTTTGACATGAGTTGCAATATAATTGCAACATTTTGATAATTGTAATGCTATTTTTAAGCATTACTTTTAGCTACCTAATTATGCATAATTATTACTATATATTTTTATTGCTTGATTACTATACTATAACTATATAATAATACTAATACTTTATGATTATCATATCCTAATTTTTAGATATAACATATTGTATTATATAATATTAATTTTAATGATTAATATTACAATTTATAATTATATTTTTATTATAAGATTACTTACTATAGTTTCTTAATAATAAATATTTAATCATATTTTTTGTATTATATTATAATTACTATGCTTTTTTGTTTATTAAAAAATTAAGTTCTAAAAATTTTAAAAAATTAAGAATTTTATTACATTTTAGTTTTTTTTTGAAATGATGAAAACATTGCATTCTTTTAATCAAACAACTTTATTTTACCAAAAAAATTTTTTAAAACTGATTTTGTTAATAACTTTTATATATAATATATAATATAATTAATTATATATATTATAAAAAGATATTATATTTAATATAATGATATAGATTTTATGTTTTGAAATTTAATTAAGTAAAAAAAAATTAATTAACTAAAAAATTTTAATACTTTTGAAATAAAAAAAGAAATCTATTAAAAAAATAAAAATTATTTTCAAAAAGATTTTTAAAGACTATTTAATTAATAAATTTAAATAATAATATTATTAAAAATCTTAAAAATCTAATAATATTTAGATAAATTAAAAATCAAGTTAATATATCTTTGGTTAAAAAACATCATAATATATATTTATAAACTAAACATTTTAACAAATCAATCATGTGACTTGTTTTTTCTTTTATTACATATTTTAGTCAATCAGTTTTCGGCAATAAATCAATTGTATTATTGCCTAAAATACATTTAATTTATAATTAAATATTTTTTATCATATATCTCCAATAAATCACACATAAAAAACCTAATAAGTCAAAAACTATCTCTTGTATGTACTTTTCTAAAATTCCTTGTTCCCTTACTCTTTATTTTTACGTCAATTTTTATCACAACACGGATAATTCAAGACCATCATCAACAAATTTACTAGCCAAGTCCCAATAATGTTCAGCTTTATGTTTTTTCAAATATTCCTTGGCTGTTTTTTCCGTTGGGCAAGTTTTGAACCAAAATCCCTTAAACCCGCGATCCTTAACCTCTCCTTCCCAAATCAATACACATTTGTTTTCTTTGGGAGGTTCCATCATTTGTTCATCTTCACCTTGTTCGTTGCCTCCCCCACTAACGCCAGTTCCACTTCCTTCTCCTAATCTTGTAGTATCAGACCAATCAATACGCCTTAACATTAATTTTTTATAATATTTAATTCCCTTTGGTCCTCCTTCAACCATTATTACACTAAAATTAGGATTGATAATAACTGTTCCTGTAAGACCAAGTTGTTGCGCATTCGTATCAACTTTAAATTTCATTTTAGGATGTGAAAGATCGTTCACTCTAAATAAAAATACAATAATTTTATATTAGTACTTGTGATGTGCACATCTGTTTGATATTTTTGATAAAATTACAGCTTACTTGAAAACGCAAACTATCGTGCCTTTCTTGGCATCTTCTTCCAATTTTTTCTGTCTCTTTTCTTTCTTCTGTTCTTCAGTCAACTTACGTTCTTCATTAGTCTTCAAATGAGTTTCTTGCCGCTTTTGCATTTCCTTACGAACTTGAGCTTCAGCTTTGGTAGGATCCTGAATAGCTTCATTCGTAAGAACTCTCATCAAATTACTCATTTTGACTAGGAGAAAAAAAATTTATTTAATCAAACAGGAAGTTTTACAAGACTTTGAGACAAGATTTTATGAGTAAACTTGTATATAAACCTTTAGGTTGATCTGGCGGTAATAAGCCCAAACGAATCTTGTCTTGCTTCTCTTTTTGTAATTCTAAACGTCGTTGTTTACGCAACTTCTTTTGTTCCTGTTTACGATTTTTTTTTATATTGATACAAAATACTTGGTCAATTCAATAGAATATATATTTTAATTTATTTAAATGATAATTTACCTTCTTGGTCAAAATTAAAGGTTTTGGTGGTGGAGGACCTTTATCTCCTGGAGGCTCAATTGGAATTGGATGCTGAACGAACCAAGAAATGAGAGAATCTTCATCGTCAATTTTGACCAAACCAGCATCAATATCATTATAAGTTTTATTCGGTAATAGATGAGCATCCCACCATTCTAAAGCAGGTGGAGGTTCTTTCTATACGAAAGAAAAGAAATTAAAAGATTAAAATGCGATTTGATGAAAATTTTTCGTTAAAGTTGATAATTTGCTTTTTATGTCAATAATGGAAAAAAAAAAGTAAGGCTCACGCCCATATTTCATTTCAAGGTAAATAGGCGAATTGCTGAATTAATAATATCATGTATTATAGATTTACCTTGATTGCCTTATCAGATGAATCCAATTCTGCTTCCATACCAGCCTTCTTCACGCTTTGAGCAATCTCCTCTTTCAATTTTTCCAACTTAGCCTATAATAAATAATAAAATGTAAGTTAAAACGTTCAAAAAAATAAATCATTTTCTTGAGTTATACATACCTGAGCTCTCATTTGTTTTCCCATAGATTCATATTTTCCTCTTTGAATAAATTTAAATTTTTTACGGCCACGACGATGAGGAGCGACAGAACCAGCTCTCGGATCAAAATAAGGATTTTGAGTATCATGTAATTCTTCAGATGGAGTTGATAGTACTTTGGTTTCTTGTTTTAAAGTAGCAGGTGAAACCCTTTGATTCGCCTATTGGAGGTTTTTTTTGTTTTTTTTTTTATTTTTTTTTATTTATTTTTTTAGGCGTTAACACAAATTTATTTCAATCATTATGTTTTTCTAATATAAAAAGAAAATTTTTTTTTCTTTGAAGGTGTGCATTTGAAAAGAAAGACAAAAACATTATTTTTTAAACATTAGATTACAAAATCTCACCTTCACAGTAGCAAAATTTGGCTTTGGAATTAATGCTGCAACTCTCTTTAAATCTAATTTTCCACTTTGATCTAATAAAAGCGCGGGATGTGCCTCTACTTTTAAGCCTCCTTTCGCTTTTGATGAATCATCGGCCGCCTTTGCTAAAGAACTAGTTGAAGGCTAAAAAAAAAAAAAAAACCATAAAAAATATAAAATATAAATATTTATATAATATTATGTGTTGTGAAAAATAAATAAATAAATAAAGAGAGAGTCAACATACCAGATAAGGATTTGCTTTCGCTAAATTAACTTTCACTCTTTCCTTAGCTTCTAGAATTTTACGTTGAAGGTCAGGATCAATTCCTGAAGACATAAAATTATTTTGAGTTGAAATCGAAGCCGAGGTAGGAATACTAGTGGATGTATTACTAGATAAAATTGTTGAATTAAAGGGTATTGATAATGGCCTGGGTTGAGATGGTCTCAATGAAGCAGCCATGGCTTCTAATTGTGCTTTCTTTTGAGCAATCATGGCTTTTATCTATTTCAGGAAACGAGTTTGAGTTAATTAAATGGAGAAATGAAATTTCTAGCAAGGAATTAGATGTACCTGATCAGGACGAGGTGCCGCATTTTGTAAAGAAGAATCGGAAGGAGTCGGACGATAGCTGGGAACTCCCTATTAGAAAAATATGACAATAATTAATACTTTACGTTTAATTTAGAAAGGTTACAAGTATTCAAGGTAAAAACACTCACAGTTCCAGAACTATACGGTCAACAAACGAAATAAAGCAATGATAAAAATTAATTCAGAATTAACCAAGAGACGTGCCATAATTTTTCTTTTTATTTTACCTTCTAATTTTTTTATTTTCGGGTTCCTGGTAAGATGGCTCATCGTCATCTCCAAATACATTTGCGGGACGTGTACGTTTACGTTCCATCTTTGAAATCAACAACTTTCTAAAAAAGTTGGACTTGACAAATGATTCGAATTTCAAAATGAGTAATTACTTTTATTTATGATCGGCAATGACGTCATTTTCGTAAAACTTAACATTTTTCTGATTTTCGAAACATTATTATTATTTAATATCTATCTGTAATAATTAAAATAAAAAAAAGGAAAGCAGCTAAAAAATAAAAATTCACTGAACTATTTAATATGAAACTATCAAATAAAATAAAATAAAAATAAATAAAAAGTTCCTCTAATTATTATGATTTTCAAATAACAACTTATTATATACCCAGCTACCTCTCTCCTTATATTTATCTTCTACTTGATATTTACTATTAATTAATTCATTAAGACTTAAAAATACTTGATCAGTATCTATCCAGTTAAAGAATTGAAGAGGAGTGTTATCTCCACGTTTAACTTTTTCTCGTTGACGCTGCTCAATCTCACTCTAGAAATAAACGAATAAAGTATATATATATATGAAAAGAATGATCCAAAAAAAAAAAAAAAATAAATAAATAAAATAAATAATAAATAGAATAAAATTTTCTCATACCTTTAATTTGGAAGCCATAGCAAAATCCCCCTCGTTAATAGATTGTGCAATATTTTTCCATAATTTTCTACTTTCCAAAGGATTTTGATCATCTTCTGATGCAATAATAGGATTTGCCCTTTTAGTACCTTCTATATCTAAGAAAATTGTCTTTTCTTGAGTTAAATGATTTTCTAAAGTAGATTTCCCTGACCAATTACCAGAAGCGGTATAAAGAGGTTCCTTTGAACCATTCTTTCGTACCACTCCATTAAAAGTATGTTTTTCTCCTGAAAGCCATCCCTTTCCGCTAAATTCAATGACTATATTAAAATTATTGGATTGAATCACGCTATACCCACTAAGAATAAAAAATAAAAATAAAAATAAATTTTTGCAAAGAAATACAAAATGATCCTTTTTTAAAACAAACCTCAATTCTACATAAGGAGCTCCCTTCCATAATCCAAGAATTTGTAAAGATGGCAAAGTGATCAAATATTTTTCTGGATGATCTCGCATATGAACTATTACATGGCCAACTTGTGTGACATCAATTCGAGCTGCAGTTGCCCTGAACTGACTTTTCTGCCCGGCTGGATAGCAAGTAAGAACGATTAGATAGGTAAAAAAAACGACTTATCCATTGGATAAGTTTTTTTTTTTTTTTAAAAAAAAAATACGCACTATGTCCATTAGCGGAAACTCCCGCCTTTTTATTTTCAAGATAAACCGCTGAGATCGGTGGATGATGACTCACTTGTTCGGAAAATAATATGGTCTCACCACATCCATATCTATCTTCCCATCTTGCCAAGAATTGTTCACCTATAATCAAAAGGGATTAAAAAAAAAAAGATTTGAATTTCCCCCGATTGAAAATAAAAATAAAATTACCGAGAATAGGATTGAACGGCTTTTTTTCGATTTTATCTTTATCTTTTCTTGATGCAAATGAACCATATAAAGTGCTTATGAACCATTTTAACACGGCAACAGCTCTTTCGACTTCTTTGGTTGGTTCAGAGATAGCGGCAAAATATTCCGGATAGTCTGCCCAATATTGTCTAAACATTAAATAGAAGTTAAAAAGCAAATCTAAGTCGAAATAAAGAAACAATTTTTTTTATTCACCCGTATTCAAGTGTTGAGGTGCCAGATAAAAGAAAACTAGGACACGTTAGACTATAAATGTCACCAGTAAAAGTGGAAAGGGTTTTTAAAAAACCGCTAAATTCTGATTTTTTAGATTCTGGGACTTGAATTTCGGCATCGCCATTTGTTCCGTTACCACTCATTTTTTTAAATTGTTAAAAAAAGTAATTTTCGATGAAATTGAAAAATTGCCGGGTTTTTATACAAAATTGAAAATTTTAGCGACGGGGTTCAATATTTGATCGAAAGACGCCCAAATTTCACAAAGATAACTATTTAAAGTTTTTTTCTTTATTTGGTACTAACCAAAAACCATTTCTTAATCCTTTATGAGTAACAAATAAACGTAGTGCCAAATTTAATGTGTAACCATAAATTTTATCATATTTAAACGATTAAATTTGCATCGTGGTAAATTACAAAAGGGAATCAAGAATGGACTAATTAAGGTCTTTGTGTAGAGGTTATACCTTCTACACTCGAACAGTATAATAAAGCAAATATGGTACTTTTTTTCTTTTTTTGAATTAAAAAAATCTGCAGCATGACGTATTTATGAGAATTGAGATAAAAATATTTGAATTTTGTAGATTCTTTTGATAGGTTCTAATCTTTATTTAGTCATGTACATAAAGATTCCTCTTAAAACTTATATTGCGAAAGTAAAAAATGTCTCTCAGCCGATTCACTATTTACTTGTATTTTCTCGAAATGCAAATAGAACACAAGATAATTTTTTTAATTCGGTCACATAAGCCATTTGTTTTTTCACAATAAGGAACTTTTTGTAGATACATCACAAAAATGTATTAGTATTATTAGTAAAGGCTAACTAGAAAAATAATAGAAATCCAAACAAAAATTTCGTTTCCACTTTTTAAGAAATAAATATATTATACAGTAAATAACTTTTATTGGTCCTAATATGCCTTTGCAGTTGACTACTGAATCTGCGCCTATTAATGCGACTAATAACCTTTCAGTATCTTCGTTATCTAAATTATCATTTCACGAAATGCCTTAAAGAATGCTTTTTTTCATAGTTTATAAAACGAATTTATTAAATTTATAAATTTATTACATGTTTAAAATTATAAAATTAATTTTTAAAGAATAATAATACAAAAAAAAAAAAAAAGAAAGAAATAAGATTTCTTTTATAATAATTTTGAAATGACTGAATTATTATTTTTTTTTCACTCTTCTTTCTGTTCCTTTTCAATTTTGGCAACTCTCAACATCGCTGTCATGGTCCTAGCAGCTTTAGTATGTATGTTCAAACCACCATAAAATGCTTTAGTGGAGTCTCTACCATAATAATTCTTTAAAATTTTTGCACCACCAGGATGCGAGTCTTTAAATGATGAAACATCCAACACAAACTCGTCAACTAATATCCATTCCTTTCCTTCACTACTTTGTTTTTGTTTATATTCCTCATAAGTCATGACAGGCAATAAGGATGAATCAACACCCCAATCGCATTTTTGTCGTTTTTCTTGGGCTCTATATAATTCCATATTGGCAACTGCTTTGTTAACTTCATTATCGGGAACACGAGTTACTGTTGGAATTTGATTTGTTAGGGTGTGTAAAAGGAAGATGATCCATTTTGAGGGATCCCAATCGGATAAACGGTACCCATTTCGGAAATCCTTGGGAAATTCATGATGCTGCGAGATAAAAAAATTATCAGAATGATTTAGGTCATGATGTAAACTCAAGTGAAGTCACGCGTACATAACAAAACTTACGAAGTTATGATAACCTTCACCGTTAGTCATTATGGCAAGTAACAGATTTCCACGAGCCGAAACTTCAGTTGAATAAATTTGGTCACCAGCCCAATGCGCGAAGCTATTAATACAAAATGTTGAATGCCAAATAATAACACGACTTAGTATGCCACCGTACAGAAATCCACCAAGAGCATCACCCCATAGAGAACTGATCAAAGTTGGAAGTGCTATTCCACTGATTAACGCTAAAGAAACGTAATTTTTATGTTGGAATCTCACTACGGGATCAGCATTGAGATCCGAGGCGTCAATCAATTTCATGTTTGGATAATGGGGTTTCTTAAAGATCCAGCCCATGTGGGAAAACCAAAATCCTTCGGCTGCTGAATAGGGATCGTCTTTCGTGTCCGTCCATCTATAATATAGTAACGAGGAACAAATTTAATAAAAGAAAAAAAAAGGGATTTGGTGGTTTGCGTATTTACTGCGTTTCTGGGAAATGGGAATCTTACCTATGATGTAATCTGTGACGAAGAACCCACCATTTGATGGAACCTTGGAATCCTAGTGTACCCATGAAGGCTAAGACAATACGTAAAGGAAGCTTGGCCTCGTATGCTCGATGACTCCATAATCGATGATATCCAACGGTGATTCTACGTTAAAGGTGAAACAAAAAGGGTTGGTCAAATTACAAACAGATCAAAAAAAACAATATTTTTTTTATTACAACTTACCCAAACATTGCCAATTGACTTATTAAGAACGTCATAACCCCTGTTTTAAATGAAGGAGTGTATGATAAAAGTGTAAGGACCGTAATTATGTGAACGGTGATAACAAATGCTCCATTTATCCACCAAGCTGGTTCATTATCTGGTTTCATTTGTTTTTTATTAATGAACTTTTGTTTTTGTATGTCATCAAAGCCGGGATCATTCATTTTGGTTTTCATTTCTGACGCAGCAGTCATGATTTATATTATTTAGACAAAAGAGAGAAAAAAAATAATTTAAAAATATTCGAAGAGGGAAAAGGGGATTGATTTTTGAAAGTTATTCTCCAAACATCCCTTTTATAAAGTGGGATTTGCTGCGTAATCCTTTCAAGAAATGAAATGATTTTACCCCATTAAAACCAATAAATTTGGAACATATCGACCTACATGTGAAATAAAAAATAAAAATATATCAAGTGTCACTTGGTTTAATTTTAAATATCATCCGAATAAATTTACAATTACAAAACTGTTAAGGAAATAAAGGAATTAATTGACATGTGATGGATTGTTATTTGATTTCCTCATGTTTTATTTGATGTTTTGAGGATCCACCATTTTTACATATGAAAAGTGATGTTAACTAATTTACTACGACTCTGATATCCAGGTGCATGGTTATGTAATGAGTCGATCTAGATCACCCGGAAATATCAAACGTTTTTCACATTATATCCTCGATTAAAATAAAATAGTATTAGGATTAGTTTAAGGAGTACTTTTTTTTTTTATTTATAAAACATATTACAAAAGAATTGGTTTATTTTTTTATAAGGAATTTTTCCAAACAATTCTTATTTATATGAATTTAACCTAAGTTAGGCTAACAATTTAGACCCGATGTCCAGCGTTAAAATCTTCAATATATAAACGAATCGTACGATTTCATAAAAAGTAGAACCACCCTTTTTTATATCTCAGGAGAACTACCTTGCACCTCGTAATTAAATTATCATTCGATAATCAAAAAAGATTTCTTCAATCATTGGGGAATTTATCAAAGGTTTCATGATTTTATTGGATAATCGGCACTCACGTGTTTTGACATGAAAAGTGATTAACAAAATTATTATATTATTTTTTATTTTTAACCATCTTCATAACCGAGAACTGGCACGACATTTTTATTATTTTTGAATCAACATCATGAATCATACAAAAAATAAAGCGTCATCACATTCTGAACATGATGAATATGAACAAAGAATACTTAAAACTGGATGTGCTAACGAGAATGAAGAATTACAATTGTGTTTTGCTGAAAAAAAAGATTGGAGATTATGTCAGAATGAACTAGATAAATTTAGAGATTGTTGGAAAATTTATCAAGATAAAACTAATAAAAAATTATAAGGAACCTGGTAAGTAAAAGTAATATAATTTATTTATGTACAGTACATGTATTTCAAAATATTAAATTAAAAATTTATTTAAAGATTTTCTTTAATTCTTGCTTCTTCCCAAAGAGTCTTGCCAGAACAAGCACAAACTTTCTTCATATTTTCAAAAACACCAGCAGATCTTGCAATAATTCCTGCAATTAATCCATGACCAGAATTTCCATCAATTTTACTTTGATCGTTATTCCCTTTTCCTTCATCATCTTTTCCACATGAAATAACCATAGATCTTCCAATAACATCCCATACTTTAATCCTGTTACTTTCTACTACTAAATCACCCCATTCATTTTCATCGACATAAATATTTCCAAGATCTCCAATATGACCTGTTTCCATGTTTCCATGTTCAACATTATCAGGATTGTAATGATCTCCGGTACTTGCTGGTCCTCTTGAAATATCACCTAATTCATGTATGTGAATTCCGTGATATCCCGGAGATATCCCCTGTACTGTGACATCAATCAAACAATTCTCTTCATCAATTTGAACTAAGCGAACAAGTCCTTGCGGTTTTCTTGGGATTTGTTCGCTTTGGTCTGGCGTGTATGTGTAATCTTCAAAGATGCATACTGCTGCACCAGCATGCTGACCTGAATATAATAGATTTTCAAAAGATTAGATCTTAAATCTTGACAAGATAGTGAGAAAAAAAATTTTTTTTTAACCTTGAACTGAGCCTTGCCCGCGTACAATTACTGTCTTACCCGTTTCTTTCAATTTCTTTGAAACAACAGAAGGAGGCGCTAATTAAATGGTTCACTTTAGGTTCGTTGTGTGACAAATAGAAACAAAACATTGTAGATCCATGTTACCTGTTCCTTCAACTATGACTTTCTGATCTTTGAGATCAATGTCAAAATGGTTAATTCCTACAAAGTGAATATTGAATGTAAATAAAGATTTAATGATTAGTTCTGTTGGATAATCTAGAATTTTATCACCTGGAATTTGATCTAAAACACGTTTTACAGTTTGAACACATGAATCGCAAGTCATCTCCACAGCATATTCTGTCTAAATACGAATTGATTTTATGAATATATGTATATTGTTTGAAAGTGGAAACGGATGAGAAAAAAAATATCTTACCCTGAAAATTGATTTCGTCAATGGTTTCGCGGTATTCATTTTTTTTTTTTTTTTTTCAAAAAAAAAAAGAAATTTACAAACGTGTTGCCATATTTATATTTCATACCGTGAGAAAATATGTAAGATTATCACATGAGATCGATTGTGCGGTATGATAGCGAGATTACTGATATTAGTTTCCGTGGATTCTGCGGGCAATTCTCGATTACTAAATTAGACTAATATAACTTTAATATAATTCTGGCCGAAATTATTTATTTTATTCATGCATAATTTGGGTAAATTATGCAGGCTCCAAGTTGGTATAAATGGCTAAGTTTAAATAAATTAAATATTTATTCGCTTACATATTTTTGTTTCCATTTGCTCAAAATATATATATATAAAAAAAAACCACAATGTCAAGCCGTTATGACGATTATGACAGGCATATATGCCTCATCCCAATCCCAAGCTTGTCTCGTTTAAAACGAGACGTTGGGATTTATATTTCAGGAGGAATGGTAGAGATATTTAAAATTCTGTTAAATAATTTCGAAATCTTTTATTCATACATTTTGACATTTCATTTCATATGAATAGTTTGCATTAGGGTGGTGGTTTTTCATTGATTCTGTAGTGTACTCTAGTCACCTGAGACGAAATGGCGATGATGATTCGGTTCCTTTTGTAAGTTTTGAAGATTGGTTGTGTGGAATTTTTAGTACGTTAGGAATGATAATGTAAGTTCAAAAGTTGTGGATAATGAAAAAAAGGCTCAAAAAAGGTCACCACACCTTTGATAATCATTTATCCTTCCCCTATTGTAATTCATGTTCCTCTGGATTTCCATCCATGCACATTAATGTAATTCGTATGCTAGATATTCTACAAAATTACTTGATTTAGCGCAACATTTAATTGTATCATGTGAAAATACTTGTTTCGACGAAAATTTTTAGCGTTAACTTAATTGATAAATCTCGCCTAACGTCCGAATACATGGGATCAGGAACTGCAACGAGAGGAGCTCGTCTCTGCTTGTTTGTAGGATTCGCTGCAATGGCTGGTGGGCTCGCCGGATCTTGTGTAAGTATTTCTATCATTACCTAAACCAAGCAAAATTTTCGGATTTTCCTTTTTAAATACAACTAAATGATATAAAGAAGCAAAGATCATGTCGATTCTTACAGTTGTATTTTCAAAACTGCTCTTTTTATTATAATGACACTAACTTATCTAAATTTAAATTTTTTCAGACTGTTTTAATTCTTAAATATCTCGTACCTAATATTGAAATGCCTTATCTATATTTTGGAATTGCCTTGGTAATCCAAAATTTTTTCATCATGATCAGGTAAAAACCATCATTCTTTTTTTTTTTAAAAAAAAAAATTAAAAAAACTTATTAATTTCCAACCATCTTTCAGTTCTTTTATGCTTTGGGTTGCACAAAGTTCTGAGAATGAATACAATAATTTTCTCTAATAGAAAAAAAATAAATAAAGTTGGGTTTGGTTTGGGTATTATATATATATAATGTATTTTGTTTTTCATTTCATTTTTTTTTTTTTTTTTTTTTTTGTAATATTGTCTTTGTACTTTAATTATCTTTTTTTTTCAACTATAATTTCATAGTTGGATAGAATTTATTTAAGGAAAATTCTGTAAAACAACAAAATTAATAAATAATTTGTTGCGAATATTTTATTATAATTTTTATTATAATTATTTTTGGTTCAAGTGTTAATAATATAAAATGGAATGAAATTCGATTTTATTCTAATTTAAAAAATAATTTCCATTTGAATTTCTTAACAGTTTATATTTAGAATAATTAGTCTATTTCGATTTCCTCAAGGTCATATGCCGTATCATCTTCCTCTAAACTATCTGGCCCATTTCTTTTCCTCTTTTTATTATCACCTGACATCTCCTGAATCATTTTCAAGACAACTCCATTATCATCATAAACCAAAGTTCCAGCTTTCCACATTCCCGTTTTTAATCCAATATTTTTATTTTTCTCATATTCAACTTTAATCGCATTTTCATCTCCTTTCCATTCTTTGTAAAGTTGTAAATTTTGTCTTCCAATTAACCGCATTGTTTTTACACGAAGATCCTGTGCTGACTTTTTTGTAAGAAAAAAAAATATAGACGCATGCATATATTATTAAGGTGGGAAAAAAATTTTTATTTTTTTCCAAAATCATTTTTAAAATTGAATCACTGTACCCAATCCGGCAAAAATTCATCGGAAATTTCCTTGTAATGTCCAATACCATATTTTTCTACACCCTTAATAAGTAGAACGCGTTCTTTGTCTGTCCATTTCCGTTGTATTTGAGGTATTGATCCTTTTGGAGGTCGAAAATAGCTTTGATGCAATAAATCATGATAATTAATTAAAAATGACTTTTTTAATAAGTAATTAACGCGTAAAATTTATAATGATACCATACTCTTGATTTAAAGAACCATCCAAATGCAAAATGTTTTGTGTGATCCCGAATTCAGGTCTTACACTAAATTTTAGACGCATTCTTTTAATCCAAGCTTGTTTAATTTTAAGTTTTTCAATGGCAGGATTTTCTTCTGTTTCATGTTGCTGTGAATCATCAGAAGTTTCTAACAAATCTACTTGCATCTCATCCGTCACATCTGTCAAGTGTATTGTCGGTACTTCCGATTGTTCTTTTTCCAAATTTTCTTTTAGGGAATCCAAAGTTACCGGCAGATCCAAAGTAAATTCCGGTAATATCTGATCTTTTGGAGTGGACTCGTCATTATTCATAGTCGGAGATGATTTTGGTGAAGGAGATGAACGCGTCAATTCTTGTTCACCTGGCCTAATTTTAGAATTTCTTTTAAGTCTTAATCTTGGAGTTATAGGTTTCATTTTCGGAGTAGATGATTTGTTCGTTGGGGATGAATTGGATTGACGCGACTTTGACTTTGATGGGGGGGTTACAATTTCGGAAGGAGGAGTTATGTTAGTGGTTGGGAGTTGTATTTTCTTTGGGGGAGGAATATGAACGGCAAAAGGAGTTAATGGAGGTAAAATAATTGGCGGTAAAATATTCGATGATGGTAAATGTGGTGGTGGTGGTGGTGGTGAAGCAAAGATAGTTGGAGGCTGTGGCTTGGTTGCTTCTAATAATGGTAAAGGGGAAGGTAAATTTATTGGAAGGGTAGGAATTGGTGAATGTTCTATTATGGGTTCTTGAACTATTGGAAATTTTGGAGTAAATTGTTGTTGCTGCCCTTGTTCTTGAAAACCTTTTTCGATATTTTCTTCTTTTGAACTTTCGTTAGCAAAAAAATCATCCCAATAATAATTAGTAAGATTTGAGGAGGTATCCGTTTTGTTTTCCTCAGGATGATCAATAATAAAATTAATCGCGAAACTCATTTTTGATTAGATGATTGATGATTTTATTATTATTATGATTTATTATTTATTATTTATTATTTTAAAAAAAATCTCTGAAAAAAAAATTTTTTTTTTTCTCGACAGAAAAGAAAAAAGACGTGTTTTTTTATGGAAATCAAATATGATATGCATATCTGTCGTACAATAAAATCAAACCGTGTACGCATATAATGAATGGGTTTTTTCAAAAAAAAAAAAAAAGGGAAACAATAGACATTTTTTAAAAATTTCAAAAAAGGAAAATTACCTTCAATGCTTTAATGTATATAATGTTAACAATGATTTTAGAATAATTATCATCTCTACATATATGTATAACATTTATAACAAATCATCAAGTTTATAATGTTTCCTTCTTCGTGCTTTTTGAGTTGATAAAAGACTTTTTAAATTACGGGTATTACATAATATAACTTGTAGGGTATTTTAGCCGAATAAGCCTCGTCTAAAAAGCTGAATGACAACATATTTTCTAACAAACCCGCGCAAATTTCTTAATTGGTAATATAATATCATTTAAAACCAAATGTGTCACAAGCGCACGACTCAGGAAAGCATTCCCAAAAAAGGAGTTGATAAAACCCCCAAAAATTAGGTTGTTCCTTATGTTTTTATTTTCGTTAATCTTTTACACTCTTCCCTAAAAGATCCTCCTCTTCGCATAATCCCAACCGACGACTTGTTCTTGTTATTTGATGTATGTATGCTAATGTACGTGTGAATTAATAAACTTTTTTTAAGTATATCATAAAGGTTTGAAAAGATTTTCGGATTTCTTAATATGTAAAAAGTACTTATTGCGTTATTTTTTTTTACTATTGAAAAAAAAAAATATATATAAAATATAAAATATATAAAATTAATAATTAATAACTTTTGTTTTTGTTGAATCTTTTTATTTTATTTTATATATCATTATTATTATTATAAAAAAATTTTTCTCGAAATAATGAAAATACAAAAATTTACTAAATGAATTAAAAAAAAAAAAATAGGCAAGTAAAAACTAAATCCTTGTACCTAAAAAAAAAGAAAAAAAGAATAGAGATAATAATTCAACTAGCATATATTTTAATTTTTGTTCTTTTGATTTTAGTGAACCGAAATTAAGAAGAGTGTACTTGTTTGAGATTTACCTCTCCCTCCTTTTTAACAAAATTAAACGATTAATAACTCCCATCAAATATGAATATAATGACGAAATGTCATCAATATTAAATTTCAAAATAATCCATCTCATCCTTTTAATCCTATTAACTTTTCACCCATTAGTGAGCAATTCTCAAGGAGTAAAAGCGCCACCATGTCTCCCACTTACTAATACAGTCACTTGTAGCGCTTTCTCACAATATTCTATATCTTCGGCTTCTTCATTAACATCTCCGCTCTCTCAAGATTCAAAGGGGGCTATTTTCGACACAACTTTTAACTGGCTACTAGAAGCAGAGAATATAACTAGATTTGATGAATTACTTCTAAATTATGTAAATACTCAATATATTAAGTGGAGATATAAAGAAGATACAAACTTTTCTTCGGATGTGAAAGAGTGTTCTGAAGTAACACCGAGTATATCGAGTATTACTACTTATGCAAGGTATACCCTGACAACTATTTGTGCATACCTTGTTCAACAACCACAAAGTAGGTTATGTAACGCAAATGATACTTTGCAAAATGAAAGGATATTATGTAAACAAACTTGTCTGGATCATTATGATTCTTTACAAGACATTGCTCACAGTCCTAATGTTTGCATTAATGGAACAACTAGTGACATTGATAAGAGGTTTGAAAATTTGAATAAATGGTGTACATTTAATACTGATAACGAAACTACTACAAATTGTGTTTCCGGAGAAGAAAATGAACCTAATAATTGTGGTATGTGTTTTGAATTGTGTAAGAGAAATTTGAAATGGATGTTAAAATCTTTTTTTTTTCTTTCCTTATATTTTTAGGTTTCAAAGATGATACGAGGGGATTGTGCTCGTATTGCAAAGACAGAGATACAAACTCATGTTGTAGTAATATACAACAATGTCCTTATAACTTACCTTCAGTAAGCGATTCTTCACCGATAATTCCAATATCACCAAATTCATCCGATATTAGTGCTTCAGGCATGGCAACCTCATTGAACGGTAAATCAAGTAGATTAGCACTGATATTGGGTACATTAGCGGGAGGTTGTCTCATATTGGGATTAATAGTGTTTTGTTGTGTAAAAAAACGACGAGGGACATCAGATCGAAGAAGGGTTAGTTTTTTTGCAACACCATATTTCTATTTTAGACCTCCAAATGTCGTTGGGGATGGGAATGATGGGGCGGAAATGATTGGAAGATATTCAAATAGTATTGCAACTCCAAATACTCCGTCAAATGCGGGAACTGGAAGTTTCTTATCCAACATCAGTACCGAAGGTGTCGCTTTAGCTACGAGCGGGGCTGCCATAGGAGCTAATAACAATTCTCATTACAATGGTATATATAATATTAATGCAGGAAGCGATAGTTTGAGACGGGGAGGAAGTAATTTAAATGTAAATAATAGTAGTAATCCGAATGTAAATTTAAAAATATCCACACAATCGTCTCCTATAACGGGAACAACAAATTCATCATCAACATCAGTTCAACTTGTTCCCCCTCCGCCTCACTCGGATTCGATCGATTTGGGAAGTGGAGGAGAAAGTGAAGAAGAAGCGAATATAGTAGTGGTGGTGTTTCCTTATTCAGCACAATTACCTGATGAGTTGGAATTATCTTTAAATGATATAATAGAAGTTAAACAAAAATTCGATGATGGATGGGCTGTTGGGATAAATAGGAATACCGATAAAGAGGGCGCTTTTCCTAACGTTTGTGTTGTAGGATTTGAAAATGTTGGAGAAAGTGAAAGTGGAAGTTGTAGTATAAGTATAGTTTTACCAGAAGGTTCAACTTCAGATGACATTGGAGATGGTGTAGGAAGCAGCGTAGGAGGATTAACAAGTTCGACACCAAGCCAATTATCGGATGGAAGATCAAGAATTAGTAATAGTATTGAGAATTTACCCAGAAGACATTCTAGTATGAGAAGAACAAGGAGAGAAGTTGATGATGATGAGATGAGAATCAGTGAAGTAGACAATGTTAGTGAAGTTAGTGAACAAGCGAGGAGGAATGATGATGATGATGATAACGATAATTACATTGAGGGATTTGATGGTGCAAGAGATAGTTACGTAAGTTCATCTAGTCCTAATACCGACAAACAATTAACTTAGGGTTGTGTTATTTTCTTGATTATTAATTTAAGTAATTCTTTTTGTGGGATATGTGGATATGGGGATAGAGAAGTGTTAGGAACCAACAAAAAATTATTAATTGGAATCTTATTTAAAATTATTTTTTTTTAAAAAAAAAGGAAAAAAAATATTTGATTTGATGTAGAAAATTTCTTTACTGTAATATAGTTTTTTATCAAAAATTTTTTTTTAAAACTTTCTTCGACTAATTAGTTTAATAATAATACTTTTAAAAATTTACTTATTTCTAAACACATTTTAATTATTTTTTTTATTTTATTTGTTTTTTTTTTTAAAAAAAAAGGGAATTTAATAATGGAAAAAAAAAGCAAATGCATTTTTGTAAATCTTAACCACTTCCTAATTGGTAAATCTTGTGCTTGAATTTACACGTTTTATTTATCTCTTAATTGTGATCGGAATTAGGGTCCGATCTTTTTAACCTCAAGATTATCGTTTCTTAAATTTGAACTTTCCTTTTTAGATTTTAAAATCTAATTTAATCAAGTTTTTTACTAGAAAAGCTTTTTTGATCAATTTATAAGAACATTTCTCGTGCCACTACTTTGCTGATTTTAGGATATTACTGATAAATACGTCTCGCCTTTTTTAGCAATTTTTTTTTTTGTGTTATGTTCTGTTTTTTTTATAAGTAAATTTAATTACCGCTTATTTTTTAAGATATGTTTATTCAAGTTAGATTAGATATTCCTCTCTTTCATTGTGGGAATATACCGGATTGGTATGCAGATCATTCCTTTTATAGTATAAAATGCCAATCATATTATTCTAAATTTTTACTGTATTAGGAATTTTTCTATTCTATTTATTTGGTATTTTAATATATATAATAAATTCTAACATTCGACCATGCCTCATCAACCGAAAAATAAAAAAAATTTCAACAATAATCCAAGTAAAAAAACTCAACACAGCCATTCTAGCTCGCTAGCTTTGTTGTAATTTTATCAGTGTTATTGTTTGTAATAGGTATTGAGTAGTCTGTGGTAATAAAAATTGAAATAGAGGTTGACCCAATTCCTTCAACTTCTAAAAATAAAGGAAAGCAACCCAAAGTCCTTATCATACCAACTATCAATTATAGTGAAGACAAAAGTTTTAACACTTCTGAAAACTTACTTGAATCTGAGAGAAAAAATAATATCATCAACTTCGCTTGAGAAGATGACTCTCTCCTATTTTTCGTCTATTATGCTAGTGAAAAATTTCTTTCCAGATGTCCAAACAAAGAAAAAATCAATTCGACTAATGAAATCTTCAATAGATCACATCTATCATCTTTCATTGGTGTATCAGTCAGATTGCATCCAGATGATAAACAAACCAAAATAATTAGAATTGGTTTTTCAACTTGTGTTGATTTCAACTTTGCCATCTCAATGCAGATTTTTCAATTAGAAAATGAGACTTTCCTCCCTCTAGCGGTAAATAAAATAGCAAAATTTACTCTGATTTATCGATCAAGATAACAGAGATAAATCAAAATTCTCACTTAAACTTACCAACCTCCTAAAGGATACTAATAGAAGACAATTAATTCCTATTGGAAAAGCAGTTAAAGTTACAACTTTCATCATCTCAAAATCAAAATCAAATTACCTTAATTTGCAATACGTTATTTTCTATTTTAAGAATGATGAAATTGTTAAGCAGCACAAAATGGTGATACCATTTATCTAAATCGCAAAAGACTAAATTGTTTCATATATTCAGTTCCAGATCACCAGTCTGACATTTATAGAAAAGCGACAGATTCCTAAAGATAAACAAATACAGAATTTATACCAGAGATACCAGCCAACATAATTCAAAAATTATACTACACTAATTAAACCAGTATCTTAGTCAATTTCCTTCACTAACATGACAAACAAAGGTAAAGGAAGTATTTCTAATAATTCTGGGTTACCATCAAAAATTATTTTACTATAACCTCCACCTAACAATAATCGTAAAAGAGGGAGAATTCTCTAAATGTAAGTATTTATGCATATGACAATTAGGCAGACGAATCAGAAGTCCTCTATTCAAATCCAAAAGGTTATCCCAAACTTGTAAATAATTTAAACGAATATAAATAACCAGATAAAATGATGACCAAACTTGATGCTGTTGCTACTCAATTAGGCCAATTACATAATGACCTAAAATTCAACAATAAACGTATTTCAATCATGGAAACCCTTCTACAAATTTACTCAACCTTTCCCAAATAAGCTGATATTATTAATGCTCAACCAACAGGTTAAATAATAGAAAAGGATGACTTTATCATCAAAACCGGTATTGATATATCTAGGATTCTGCAATTTGATTTGATATTTGAATATTTGATTTGATTCGATCAAATTTAAATCAAAGAATGATTTATTTAATCAAATCTAAATTAATATTTGATTCGATTCCATCAAATTCAAATCAAGTATTCAAATATTTGATTTGATTTGAATCAATAATAAAGCCATCTCCAAAGCTTTAAGAGTGGCTCTTACTAAGAAAACCATAGTAAAAAGCACCTCTGCAGCTTTGAAAATACCTTTTTTACTAAGAAAGCTATAGCAAAAAGTGCTTCCGCAGCTTTGAAAATGCCTTTTTACTAAGAAACTTAGTAAAGAATGCATCTGCAGCTTTGAAAACATTTTTTTACTAATAAAATTGTTACGAAGCTGAGATGACAGTTATTACTAAGTTTTCTTAGTAAAACCAAAACTGCAATAGTGGTTATTACTAAATTTTCTTAGTAACACTGAAACCGCGATAGCAATTATTACTAAGTTTTCTTATTAAACTGAAACCACAATAGCAGTTATTACTAAGTTTTCTTTGAAACTGCAGAGTTATTTTATTAAGTTTAATAGTAAAAATTCACCTGTTACTAAACTTATTTTGTAAAAGCTATCTTTGAAATTTTTTAGTGCAATTACTAATAATTTTCTTAATTAAAACTTTAGAATAACTTTATTTTAATATATCATTGTAAAAATTAAAAAAATTTATATTCAATTCAATTCAATTCGATCAAATATTTAATTTAATTTGATTTGATTTGACAAATATTTGATTCAATTTGATTCAATTTGATCAAATTCAAATTAATTCAAATTAATTCGATCAAATGTTTGAGTTTAATTTGATTTGATTCAATTTTGAGGAACCCTAGATACATCTGAATCTGTTATTATCACACATAAACTCGATATTGACTACTTAAAAGAAGAAAACCATTATCCTAAATGCAATATTTAAGCAAACTTCAAGAAACTTAATGATGCCTTAAAAGTGATAAATATAATGTAACAAATGATGATTGCTGGCAGGCAACTACATTATAGTTGTCATATTCCTATCCCAGTGCTTGATAAACCTTAAGATTTCTTAGATACTAAAGAGGAATTTCCACCACACAAAACCCAATTTTAATAATGAGTAATACAACCTCAAATCCTTTAAATACCTTTAATAATAATCCACCTAACATATTACCTACCCTTAATATAATTACCCATAATGTTTTATCTTTTAATGATGCTATTAAACAACAATTATTAATGAACTTATATACACATTATGACGTCAATATCATCATCTTACAAGATACCAAACTATCAAAACAAACAGTTAGTATGCTTAAAAATAATTTATACAAATCCTACTTTATCCTCTCAAATATCTAATTAGATCTTAACAACCATAATACAGGCGTCGTATTAATAATGAAAAAATATCTTGCTAATCATATATATCATCATAGTGTTTTTAAAACAGGATTATCTATGTAGATTTGCAACTATAAATAAATATCACATTGGAATTATTAATACATATATCATCCCTTTAGATAATTCTCTTAGAAAAAAAATTATATTCAAAATTAACTAACCTTTTTAAATAAGCTTTTGATTTATCTATGCAGGTGATCCTAATTAGGAACCTTAATGCTGTACCTAAAAAACTCACAAATCCCAAGTATTCAAATCAGTTTTTTTATATCTTAACCAATTGAAAATTATTCAATATTAAAGATATATGATATGATAACGCTAATTTAAAATACTTTACCTTTTATCGAAATGGATGTATTCAAGTAGAATTGATCATATTTACTGCTTTACAGAACTGGTCACTCAAATGATAAAGCATTCCCAGACTTATTTGATCACAATTTGCTCATTATTGTTTTGGAATGTTCTGAACTTGTAACTAAACGACCCTCTTTGCCGATTAAAAAAATGTATTTTGACATAAATAAAGCGAATCAAGAAAATTGGAGTAATTTTGCTTCCAAAATGGATGCTTTATTAATCAATAGTTTTATTAAAGAACTTGATGTTAGCTATCTTATATGTAAAAATAATATTAACTTCTTTTGAAATATCCTTTAAAGCATTATTATTACAGCAGCCAATATTGGGCCTTCTCAACTTCATTTAAGTTTGAGTTAACTCATATATATGCATGTGTAATAGGAAACTAATGAGTGAACTCCGCTCATTTTTTTGCTATTTTATGTTAACTCAATATTAATAATTATTATATATATAATAAATAATCAACATCAATTTTTTTTAACATTAAAATTTTTGATTTAAAATGGCGGAAAAAACTTTTGAAACAACTGAACCCTCGGATCATGTTACTAATGAAAAAACTTTAAGTTTTACTAATAGTGTATCAAGACAAATAATGTTTTTTCCTCCTTTTTCTTCTCAAAACTTTTAAAATTTCGACTACACTTATTATTCTCCTTATCAACTTTCTTATAAAGAAAACACGTCATTTTTATTAAGTGATAATAATCAATTTAATAAAAACTCACAGCTTAACTCTACTTTTGACAATGTCAATTATTTTGAAAAACAATCTTTGGTTAAAGAAAGTAATTATGCAAATAATCGTGTTAAAGAAGTAAAAGATAAAGATCAAGGTACATAATTTATTATTTAACTAGAAATTTGTTTTTAATTTATTTAATAAATACTAAAATTTTATTATATTAAATAATTTAAAGAAAATAAAGTTGATAATAGAAAGAGTACTTGATATTCTAAGGAAACTAAGTTTTTTTTGAGTTTGATGACAATTCAATATTCTCAAATAAAAGCTGCTAGTAACAATATTAAAAAAGATAAAATCTGTGATATTATTGTATCTAAAAGAATATGAAGGAAGAAATAAAAAAGCTATTCAAGTAAGTATATTATAATTTGAGTTAAATTAATTATTTTATTTTATTATTTACTTTAATAGATTTTGCTTAACGTATTTTTTTTTATTAAATAGGCTTATTGGGATCGTCTTGTTAGAAATTACAAGAATTTCAAAAATCATAATGATAAAACTGATAATAATAGAATGAATTTTAAGTTTGAGGATGAAATGAATGATATTTTTGGTGATGATCTGATGATAGTTCCTCATTTTACATTGGATTCATTAAATAAAAAAAGAAGTATTGATGTAATAGATTTAGTTGAAGATGATAAGGAAAATACTTCTGATATTGAAGTTGAAATTAAAAAAGAAACCAAATAACTTGAAAGGAAACCAAAAAGCAAAAAATCAAAATCTAACACTACTACAGCTATTGATATTAGTAATAAATAATATGATAGAAATTTTATTGAGGCAGGAAGAAAAAAGAGATAAGCGTACTAAATAAACAAATCAATTATTAGAAGACATGCTTAGTATAATAAATAAAATTGTAGAAAAATAAGAATCATGTACAGTCATCCTCCCTTATAGTCACAGGCCTTGGGACCACCAAAAATAGTGATTATAAAGAAGTGTGCTTGTATAGAAGTTTTCTAAATTTATAATTTTTTATAAAAACTTATAATTTTTTCATTTTTAAAATTATCATTATTTCATAATTTTCATCTTGTTAGTAATTATAATTATATTAGATTATGTACTTTTTTTTTCTCTTTTAAATGAATATTTTTTCATAAAATTCCAATCTGTATTTAAAAAGTTTTGCTAGAGATAAAAATGGTTTTGAATTTCATATATTGTGTAAAAAAAAACTAATTTACCACCACGCACCTGACCATCACCTCTGCGGATACTACTTCTTTATATACTTTTTTGTTTCTTAAGATCGCATTACTTTTTAAACATGTATTTATTAACGTAAACAAACAAACAATATTACAAACATCACATAACCTCATATATGTTATTTTTTTCTATAAAAAAATTATTTTTTAATAACATAATATCTACATAAATTTGTAATAATAATCCTATTATTTCCCACCTCAAAAAAACCAACTAAAAAAAATACTAATTATTAAAAAATAAATCAAGTGTTTTTTGTTTTCTTGATTTTATTTCTTG